ATTAACTTTGCCAGGGAGGACTTAAAAAAATCTGATGTCAGGTTGCTGAGCACTCCTGCCCTTTCTATCCATAATGTGCATTAAGTCATTGGGCAGGTGTTTTGAATTTATACTAATGTTGCCCAATAAGGTTCTTTTGTTCCCACCATTAGGAAAATTGGCCTTCGGTGAAGGAGAAGAAAATATTAATATATTAGGCCTAGAAGCACAGAGCAAGCATATATTTAATGAGCCAATGCCAGTTTCCTTTACTAGTTACCGCCCTATCTGAATCATGGAGACATTCTACTCAGCAGTTCTCAAAATCTGTGGTGCGTTCGAATCATCTGGGGGGCCCTAGTAAAACCCCCAGAGAGTGAGATTTGGTGGGTCTGAGGTGGGGCCTGAGAATTTGCATTTCTATCCAGTTCCCAGGTGATGCTGACTCTAATGGTCTAGGGACCACACTTTGGGACCACCGTTCTAAATATTGTGAAACATGAGCAGTATATAAATAGACATTTGGTGATTTTCTCAATAACTTGCAACCTGGCCTTTAGTTTAGAATCCAGATGGGCTGGTTTAAAGGAAGATGGTGATGTCCAAGAAAGGTAGTATGAAAATTTTAAAACTCCATGAAATTTTTAAAACTCTTGCCATGTCTGGTTTTGTTGGCCTACGTCTCGCTGGCTGTTTTGGAGTTGGCTGGTTCGAAAGGATGTAGTGTGTTGCCATGGCAATATTCTTCCCCAAGCAGGAAGGCCCCAGAGGTTGGTCCTGCGCAACTGACCGTGTATTTCTCATGGCTTTTCCCTTGGGGTGCTTCAGGGTTCTGTTCCATCACTCCTGGTTGGTGTTCCCAGGAAGCTGGGGTCAGTCAGGAGGCTCTAGGCCCCCTCTTCGTTCAGCCTATAAATGGACTGAGCTTTCTTTGTCAAACCAAGGCCCAGCTTGCTTAGGGCCATGGATCAGATTAAGCTAATTTGGGTACAAAGCAGAAGTGGTTGGCAGGGGGATCCCAAGGCTATGGGGAAGGTGCTTTCTGCTCCTTTATTTAGCAGCTCTTGCCTTGTAGCACTGTGTCTGGATTCTCAGCTAAGGAAGGCATGCCTCTCCTGCAGCACTTAGCATGAAGGTTGTTACCTCTGTGGATGCAGGGCATGGCAAGATGTCTGTCACACGTGACTGCCATGGGATCCCTTTGTTCTCTTCCCAGGGTTCTCCTTGAAGGACAGACAGATATCCTGGTGTTCTTCCCTAAGGGTGTAGCACACATGGTGTCCAGGTGGCCACAGCTCACCAGAGGACAGTTCAAGGTGTGGCTCTGCAGACCTTGTGTGGTTTGAATTGGGTTTGCTACAAGCCCGCTCCTTTCCTGTGTACATCTCTGCAGCTGAGATAGACCAATTATAGGATCCAGGTTTGAACATCAGGGGAGATCACAATAGATTTTTAAAGAGGGAGCTATAAAAATGATCCCCAAAGAGTTTCTCTGGGATAATTTTATAGTCACATTGGACTGGGTACAAAGCTGGTGGGTACCGGTGTCTGCCTTAGAATGGAGGTGGGAGGTTGGGACAGAGGCCTGGCACTGGGCAGTATATTTTGTTGTTTCATCTGGGTTGGTTAGTTACACCTTGATTTTATGAAAATTTTTGTCAAGTTTGTGTGACAGCCTTAGTGTGTTACTTAGGAATTAAACATCTCCTCTGATGGTAGGTATTAGCTTGGGGGACCTGTGCTGTAACCTGAATGGATCAGAAGGACAGGGGCTAAGAGCAGATTCCTAAACACAAAATGTCCAAATTCAGGGTCCAAAGGGAAGAGATGAACATTTATAAACCAGATGCCTGACATACACTCTTAACCTAATCCTTGGAAGAGCCAACTAGGACTTTTTAGGCCCATTTTACAGGTGAGGGAACTGAGTTTCAAGAGGTCAAGAAGTGGGGCACCTGGCTGGCTCATTTGGTGGAGCGTGTGACTCTTGATCTCAGGGTTGTGAGTTCAAGCCCCAAGTTGCATGTAGAGATTACTTAAAAAAAAAAAAGGTCAAGAAGTGACCTGCCCAAGGTTACCAAGCTGGTTAGGGGACACTTCCCATTTTGCCTACCTAAAATATTGTCTTTCATCAAATTATTTTCTTTCTCTATTCCCTCCCACCAAATTTTATCTCCCTTTTCCAGAAGTATCTGTGTTCTGGCTTGAAACAGTTTTATGAACAGAGAGGTCTATTCACTTTTAAGCAGTTAAGCCCATTATTAAGCCTCTAGATTCAGATTATCAAAATGTTGTGGAACTACCCACCTCATTATACTTTTTAAAAATATATTTTTTAAAAAGATTTTATTTATTTATTTGAGAGAGCACGAGAGCATGCATGCAAGCCGCGGGGAAGGGAGGGAGGGAGAGGGACAAGCAGACTCCGCACCAAGCACGGAGTCCAATGCAGGGCTCAACCCCACGACCCGGAGACCATGACCTGAGCCGAAATCAAGAGTTGGATGCTCACCTGGCTGAGCCACCCAGGCGCCCCTAAGATACTTTTTAAATTAAAGCTTAACAGACATACAGAGAAGTACACAGATTGTAAAGTGTTCAGATTAATGGCTTTTTATAAATGGAACACACCTGTAAAACCACCACCCAGATCAAGAAATAGAAACCCAGTTACATTTTTATTCTTCCGATCCTTTTGTTAGTTTTTGCCAACGTGAAACTCTGGTTAGAAGTACATTTTAACTGGGCTGTCATAATATTTGTCCCATCCAACTCTGTCACAGCAGTATTTGAGGATCCCCTAAAATGGTGGGTAGTTACAAGTCAGCTAATGCACCAGTTTGTCAGTAATGAGCCCTGTTTATAGACGGCCCAGGACTTCAGAGGGGACTTCAGATACCCCCAGGAAAGAGGTAACGGTAACTCCTGAGAGAGTTTAAGAACAGAAGAGTCATGGAATTTTACAGCTCATCTCGTAAGTGGAGCTCAGGGAGGCTGAAGAGTTTGCCCACAGTCTCACAGCAAGGAAGCAGGACCAGCAGGCAGCAACTCCTACACAGTGTGCACGCACGCGCACGCACGCGCTCACACCCCCCCCCAGATGCATGCTATCTGAGAAGTCTCCATTGAAATGGATCCTGACTAGAAAGGAAGCCATTGGCAAGAGGGTCTGTACGGGGCCAGTGAGGTCACCCCTGACGGATGCTGCCTACTAGCTCTAGGATTTGGCACCCTCCACTCCAGATGCCCATCTGCTCTCAGGCGGGCCACTGGCAGAAAGACAGCCCTGTTCACCCATCATGGCATGTTGGGAGAGTTGCTGGATGAAACCAAACCCTGTCTATGGCCAGCATGTTCTGTGAGCAGGTGTCCCATTTAGCACCACCTCTCTTTTCCTTGGACTACAAAGACAGATCCTAAACCAGCTCTACCATTTACCAGCCCCTATACCACAGGCAGGTCCTGACCCTAACAACCCCTCAGGCTGGTTGCGACGTTCAGCGCTGTCATAGCTGGGGGAAACTTTGCAAACAACAAAGCACTTCGTAATTATAATACTTATCTAGCAGTTCCTATGGGCCGGGCTTGCTGCTAAGTGCTGCATGGGTATCTCCTTTATTCCTCTTTGTAGCTATAGGAAAGCTGCTTCTGTTAGCCCCATTTTCCAGGTAAAGGACCTGAGGATTAGAGAAGCAAAATAACTGCTCAGGGCCACAAAGCCACTTCAACGATGGGCCCCATGCAGACCGAGGAAGAGTATGTCTAAACTACCCCTCCTGCCTGCTGCTTATAAGCAGTCAGTCCTTTGGTAGTTATTTTTTGAGCCTGTTAAGTATCAGGCATTGTTCTAGGTGCTAGGGAGGCAGCCTTGAGCCAACACACGAAGCCCACGCCCTCCTAGAGCTGACGTTCTTGAGCCATGAGCAAGATCCTTTAGGAAAGATTTCTCTGGGAGATTTGTGTTTTGGACACTTTTAGAGAAAAGCCCGCCTCCCTTCCCCCCAGTCCTCCCCCGACGCACTCACACACACACACAGACACACACACGCCTGCTTGCTCTTCATCGTTGAAGCCCCCCAGACTTCTCCAAGTCTCCCCTTAGGGAGATGATGGCTGAGAGCAGGGTGTCCCTGAGTCTGTGTGTCTCCTGTGCCCTCTGAATAAAGACCTGCCGAGCAGCCCGCTTCCTGAGGGGCCCTGGCCACATCCCCCAGCCTCATGCCCTGCAGTCTCCCTGCTCCCTCCCAGCCCCACTAGTGGGAGTCGGGCAGGTGTCTGCCCAGCAGCAGGACCCCATCTCAATCCCGGCGCGCCTTTTCAGGACCAGCAGACAGCACTCATGCCAGCCTGATGCGAGGCTCGGGGGTCCGTGGCCACCCTGCTCATGAGGCCCTGCCATCTCCACGTGGCCTTGTGTCTGTTCTTCTCTGTGTCTCTAGACACAAAGGGCCCGGGTCTGTTGCTGGCGCTCAGCTGCTGGAGTAGGGAGGGCGGGCAGCGGTGACAAGCTTTTCAGAAAGGCCAGGGTGGAGGCAGGAGTCACCCAGGTGATCCGAGCCATTCCCCTGGGACCCCAGCCCAGGACCACAGTGAAAGGTTACTGCTAATTGGTGAGCTCCTGATGGGGCTGCATCTATTTAGCACCCCCCCCCTCCCCAGAGACTTCCAGGATGGTCTTGGCACAGCATGTGATGCGAGAGCTCCCCGCCTGAGTCTGGCACAATCTGTCTGAAATTGTGAACATGGAGCCTCTTGGTTTTTTAATTTGTATTTTCGTTGTCGCTCCCTGCCCATTGTTTCTGGGGGATTTAGTAGCAGCAGCCCCCCTGACTCTGGGGCCCCCATCCCTGGGGCCCTCTCAGCAGGCTCCTGCCACCCCCGGCCCCCCAGACCTACCACTGGAGGTCAGGGAGCAGCATCGTCCCTGCCCCCGCCCCCCCCGACCCTTTGCCAGGCCTCGGGGCCCAGCTCTCGGCCGGCGTCATCCCCAGCACTGACACAGCTTGTCCCCCCTGTCGCAGGGGGCAGATGGCCTGTCGGAGCCGGAGGGCATCTCTCTGAAGCGGGTCGCTGTGGTGGAAGATTTCTTTGACATCATCTACTCGATGCACGTGGAGAGCTCGGCGGAGCCAGGCAAAGCCCCCAAGCACGCTGGGCAGAAGAAAACCTACCGAGCGGTGAGATGTCTGTCTCTGGGCCTCTGCGGGCAGCCCCAGGCCTTGGCAGGAGGCCACGGGCTCCGCACATGTTGGGCGGGGGCAGGGCAGGGAGCTGAGGCGTGATGAAACGGCCTTTGGGGACCCAGGGGGGCACAGGGCAAGGGCACGGCAGCCAGCGATGGCTCAAGGGGGGGAGCGAGGGGGCGGGTTCTGGGGTCTGAGCACAAAGGAGAAGCAGGGTGAAGGGAGTGAGGGAGGGAAGGAGAGGGTTGAGGGCAGGAGCAAAGCCCTCCTCTTGCCCGTTTCTGCTTCACTTGTCCCCTCCCCCCCAGCCCCTTGCAGCCTGCTCTGGGACTGTGGGGGTGGGGGTGGCCAGATAATAAAGAGCGAATGCTTCCATGGTGTTTACTGTGTGCCAGGTCTGCCCTAAATGCTTCCTGTGTCTGAGTTCATTCAATCCTCTACCCACCCCTGTGAAGTCAGGACTGGAAGTTCCCCGGGGGAAGTCTGAGGACATGGGGCCTACCTTCAGGGAGATCACAATTCGACCTGGGGTGGGGAGGCTGAGAGCAAAACCAAGACACAAGAACTAGAAATGTCTCCAAGACTAGCTTTGAGGGAACAAGAACCCCCAGGGCATTTTGCAGAGGCACCCCCGGACACTGGCAGTTAGTGCTAAACCGGCGGGGGCAGGGGGAGCAGCTTCGTGGGGAAGATGGCATAGGCATTCCAAGCTTGGGTGGGCAGAAGGGAGCAGAGACAACAATCTAGGGGTTGGAAGCATCACACATGGGGAGGTAGAGGAGACGGTGGCCAGAGCAGGAGGGGCCTACTTGTGTTCTGGTCCCCCCCCCCCATTGACTGCCATTGCCATGGCTCAGGCACAGCTCTGAACCCGGACCCACCACTAAACCAGTAAAGCCAAGCACGCTACATTCATTCGAGCCTCCGAGCAGTCTTGTGATGGAGGCACCATGGTCCCATTTTGTAGTTAAGGAAACCGAGACCCAAAGAGTTGATCTACCTGTCTGAGGTCATGTAACACTTAAATGGCAGTCAGCTGGTGTCCTCATGCCCCCTCTGTGTTGACCCTTTCTCTGGCTTCTTAGAGAGCTGCCCCTCTGACCTGGCTTCCCCACCCAAGGCAGCTGTGAACTCCAACCCCACCCCCACCTCTACCCCCAAGTTCTTCCTATAAATAGCCTTGGACTGCTGTGGAGGTGGCCTGTATAAGTCTATGATTTTCCCATGTGGCCTGATTTTTAAAAATTCCAACCATCTGGTTTGTCCTTGTCCCCAGATGATAGCCTTTGCCCTAAATGAGTCTTACAGATGGACCCATGTGCCCAAGGACCTCAGAAGATGAGGGTTTGGGCTGAGGGAGCCACGAGATGATTATACCACCTGCCCCACCCCTCCTGCTTCTCAGTAATGTGTGTCGGGAAAGGGAGTTCTGAGGGTATTCCCACCAGAGGGTCATAGATGAAGGGAGAGGCACCCAAGCCAGAGCCTTTGTGGCCCCTGGGTGTTCATGAGACCCAGCCCATTTTTTCAGCATTCAGTCTGCCAGTGCTGGGCAGCTCAGCACCTCCTGGGCACCAGCTCTCCGAGCCTTCACGTGGACGAAAGGTGTATATATGAAGCAGGGGCTCCTGTGTTCTCCATTTTACAGGTGAGGAAACTGAGGTTCAGAGGGACACATAACCTGCTTTGAGGTCACCCCACTGGTTTTCAGAGCCAGGCTGCTGGCCCCAGAGCCCATGCCCTGACCACCACCCATCCTCCCTCTCTACAAACCCCCCTGTGGTCAGCTAGTAAGCCCGATGACTTGCTGTGGTCAAGGTAAATGGGCTTGGGCCAGCCAGACCACATGATTTCCCTGGTTTCCCTTGATGTCCAGCACTGAGGCTCACACCACAGGCACTCCCAGGGTATGTATGTATTTATTTACTTTAAGATATATTTATTTGAGAGAGAAAACAAGCGGGGGGTGGGGGGGGAGAGGGAGAGGATCTCAAGTGACTCCCTGCTGAGTGAGGAGCCCTGAGCCCAACCCCCAGATCATGACCTGAGCCACGAGTCAGAGGCTTAACCAACTGAGCCACCCCAGTGCCCCTCCCTGGGTATTGAAGGCCGGGTCTGCAGCCTCCACGCTGTAGAGAAGGCAGGGCTGGGCTGTCCCGCCAGCCTCTGTGTCCCTGGGCCAAGCGGACGTCCAGCCCTTTGCTCTGCACTTCCTGGCTTCTCGTCCATATGCCCGCCGCGTGCCCCACTTCCCGCTGCCCAGCCTGGAGCTGGCACATGACTGGCAGCGGGCCAGCTGGGCTGCGCACAGAGCTGGAATTTCAGCCGCAGGGCCAAGGCTGAGTGGAGCAGGCCAGGGCCCTCCTGCAGTGGGTGTGAAGGCCAAGGGGGCTGCTGCACCTCCCTCCTCCCCGGTGTGCCTCCTCTCCCTTCCCCCTCCTCTTCCCCATCTGTCACCCTTCTCTTGCCACCCTTTTCCTTTTTTGGGGGTGGGGGTGGTGCCTGGATGCTTTTGTCCCCCTTCTTTTCATCTGCTCCCATTTTCCTCAACCCAAGCCTCTCTCTTCAGTCCCATCCATGCCTGGGAAAGAGCCCCCAAGGAAACTCTGTGCTGACGGCTGCAGAGAGGCACAGCCTGGCACTGTGGGGTTTGCATCGGCCCCTGGCTGGGGGGGTTTGGACCTGTCTCTGTGTGTTTTGCCAGACCTGAATCCTGGAACTGCCTTGCCATCTCTAGAGCACCTGGGACCTTCCAGATTCTTACAGGCCTGGGGTGCCTGTAGGAAGCAGGGGGCTGGAAGGGAGGTGGGCAGACTTGTTCAAGGGCATTAAAGGAGGCACATTCTTCTGTGGGAAAAAGAAGCTTCTAGCACCCACCACTGTCCAGCAATAGATCAGAGAGAGCAGGTAATGAGTTTTCTGAAACTGAAGGTATATGAGCCAGGGATAGATGGCCATTTATAATGGACAATGCAGGGGATTCCCATTTGGGGCAGTAAGTCCCTGCCTTACTTTGCCTCTGATGCAGTGTGACCAGAGGATCCAGAGGATCCACAGGGGGACTTGCCCATGTCCCGGGGTCTGGGAAGGGTTCCAAATGGTTGTACAAAGTTCCCTGATCCCACTCAGAGGATGGTCCTTTTTCAAGGGGGATTTTCTGGCATCTGTACCCATCTGGGTTGGAGCAAGCTCTTTGCTTCCTTCCTGTCTCCCAGGGTGCCAGTAGGCTAGACCGAGCTCCAGAGTCTGGATCCGGCTGCCCAGACCACTTTGGAGTTGGGGCCAGATGTGGTCAGCAGCTTCTCCAGGCCCACCATGTGCTAATCCACCTCAGGGCAGCAGGAGGGTCTTGTAAAGTGGTGCAAATCTCCCCAACTGGCCTCATCTGTCCTTGTCGGCCCCTGAGCTGGGGAGCGAAAATGGGGCCTTACAAGTCAACGACTCTGCACATAGCTTCTGCTCTCCCTGCCGGTGAATTCTCCCTTCATTTTACCACTGGGAGAAATGTGAAAGGTCTCAGTATCCAGGCAGGAGGCCCCAAGTGCAAGGCAGCAGGCCCCTGAGGGAAGCTGGGTGGGGGCAGGGGTCCTGGGGCTTCCCTTCCTTAAACACGGCAGCTCTATCTTTATCTGTTTCACATTTGGGGCTTCAGCATAAGGGACTATTTCCAGAACTGTGTCTGGAGCTCCAAAACTATCTGAAAACCACCATCCTATTGACTAGAGCATAAGCGAGGATTGTCCTCCTTCTATCAGCTCATCCTGGGGTCCTGTGGCCCTGGGCATCTGTGTAGTGGAACAGGAATGGAGGTCCCATCTCTCCTGTGGACAAGCCGGGAGAGTGAAGGCTGAAGGCCTGCCCCTCCTCCGTGCGGACCCCTCTGCAGCAGCATGGAGCTGCGCTGGACTCTGCACTTCACTGACTCCCCATGGAGTTTTTTGTGAGGCTGCAGACATGCCAGCCACCCAGGGCAGGGCTTGCAAGGACTTCTCATCTAGGCTTCTTGAGTCCACCCCACCTCCCTCTGTGTGGGACCCAGGGCCAGAAGGTGTGCTCCCAGTGCTCTCTGCCCCATGGCCCGCTAGCCAGCTTTGCGTACTGCTGGGATCCCTGCCAAGGCCAGGAGAGCCAGGGCCGCCTGGGCTGGGCCCTCGCTGGGAATTGCACCTGTACCCTCGGTGGGTCAGGTGGTGAGTAGGGCCTCTGCCCCTGCTGCAGGCCACCCTCACCAGAGCACCCAGACCAGGAAGGCTCTCCTTGAGCGCTGGAGAAATGATTTCTCTGCCCAACAGCAGGTGAGCTCCATAGAGTGAAGTGGGGCTGTTCCTATGGTATCAACTTTCCTCCGTTCCCAGCAGACGTGACACTCCTCCCCCAGGTCCTCAGCTCATCTCTTCGAGGTCTGACCTGGGATGCCGCACCTTGCGGCGCCTCGGCCGACCTCATCTGTTTGCCCAGCTCAGCCACAGCCCCACTCTTTGCCCGGCGGGCACCCTGCCCACTTGGCCCTTTACTCCTGCCTCCATCAGCCCTTCAGTAGGGCCCAACCCTTCCAACCCTGAAGGCCTGAGAGGGACATGCCACCCCTAAGACTTCTGGGCAGGTTGGGCTGGGAATGAAGATGTCTCTGTGTGTGGCAGGAAAGCCCCCATCCCGGAGCCCTGAGACCCAAGGAGGACCGGCTGCATGCCCTCCCATCCACCAGCTCCAATCAGAGAGCAGGGCTTTGCCCTTGTCCCTGACCTCCAGAGGAAGGCAATCAGACAGGGAATTTGGAAGGGAGATAACTCATCAAGGAGCCTGCCTGCTCCGCAGAGCATCAAATCAGCTGAGAAATAACAATTGTGTCACCAAAATTAACTCTGTCTTTGCAGCCGGCCACCAAGCAAGGGTGGCCCCCAAGCTCCACACACCAACTGAGCCGAGGGCACAGCCTGAGCTGGTCCTCTGAGGGCCTGGCCACAGCCCTGGAACCCTGCCTCGGCCCCCCCCCCCGCCCCCATCTACTCCTCCCTACCCTACTCCACCTCCTGACCACCACAGAGGTGGCACAGGGCACTCATGCATCCCAAAGGAGCAGACCTGGTGCTGTCCTGGAGAGCAGTCCCCTCCCTCTGTGGGCTGACCAGAGCCCTTGGCCAACTTTCCCCCCGCTGGGCTGCAGCGAGGATGGTGGAATGCTGGGGTGATGCTGCCCCTTAGTGGAGAGGAGCGGGAGGGCCCCGGCGCTGGGAAATGTGCGGAAACCAGCAACTGGGCAGCTCCCAGCCTCAGCCAGGGAACCCGGGCCTAAGAGGCCGCCAAACCAGGGCCAGTGCGTTTCCCAAAACCCAGAGCAAGAGGAGACGGCTGGGCTTCTGGTCCCACACCCTCTCCTTCTCCATTCCCCTGCCCAGCCTGTTTCTTGTATTCCCTCCCATCTACTTCACCTCCCTTCCCACCTCCCGGGCTGGAGAGGCCCCCTGGAGGCAGTTAAGGTGTGGTGTGACCTGGAGCATGGGCTTTAGTCTGCCACTGCCTCTAACAAGCTGTGTGGCCTTAGGCAAGTAGGTCTGCCTCTCTGGGCCTAGTGACCTCACCTGGAACATGGGGGTCCTTAACGGCGTGTCCAGTTTGAAAAATCTGATCCTTTGTCATCAGACTTTCACAGCTCTCCCTAAAATGTTCTTGATCTGTGAGTTATTGCAGGAAGAGCTTGTAGAACCTTGGGTTCTGTTCATAGGCCCAGAGCTGGGAGATTCATAAGTGGATCTGTTTATCCATCTTTAAGAATGAGAATTGTTTCACCCTCCCCTAGAGCAATGTTTATAAACTCATTTTTCAGGAGCAACAATAAAATGCTCTGAGAGGAGTATTCCTTATTAAAACGTAGGTTAGGGCACCTGGGTGGCTCAGTCATTCAGCATCTGCCTTCAGCTCAGGTCATGATCCCAGGGTCCTGGGATCGAGCCCCGCATCGGGCTCCCTGCTCCGCAGGAGGCCTGCTTCTCCCTCTCCCACTCCCCCTGCTTGTGTTTCCTCTCTCGCTGTGTCTCTCTCTGTCAAATAAATAAATAAAATCTTTTAAAAATAAATAAATAAATAAATAAAACGTAGGTTAGATAATGTTTAAATGTTTTTGCTTTCTCAATTTCTAACTCCTTTATTCAAAATTTTTTTAAAAAATGGTTTTCCATAAGAGTACTAACTCATTTCCATGGCTAAGAATTGAGGACACCTGCTCCTTGCTCCTCGAATCCCTTCCCTTTCTGCAAGGACCAAGCACCTGCCACCAAAGCACAGACCTTGGTGACCTGGTGACCAGGCGGCCTCCCCCTGGGCCCATATAATGAGCAAACCTCCTCTGTCCCCAGATTGCAGAGACCTATGCCTTCCTTCCGCGAGAGGCCGTGACCCGGTTCCTGATGAGCTGCACAGAGTGTCAGAAGAGGATGCACTTTAACTCCAATGGCCTGGAGCCCAAAGGTAGGGGAGGAGGCGGGTGTGCTGGTGGCTTGGGGGAGGCTGTGCAGGGAAAGGCCCTCCCACCAGCAAGGCCTGCCCTTTGCTGGCACAGACAGAAAAGTGCATGGCCAGCGGTTGTCACAATTCCCAGAGGCCAGTGTGGGTCCATGCCCAGAGAGCCTCGTTTTTGTTGTTTTTTAACTGTAAAAAAAAAAATGTCAGGGTTCCTTGAAAAACCCATGGTACATTCCTACCGCCGCCCTTCAAGATCCTCTTCTCCCACTGACGTTCCCGATGGAAACTATCACCTCGCCCTCTTCCCTAAGCTCCTTAATTCTTGCCGCCCAGGCCTCCCCCTGAGCAGTGCCCTCATGGGTCTGGTCGCATGGCCCTGTCTGTGAGCTCTCTGGAGACAGGAGCACGATGCCTCTTGCTACATGCGCCTTTTTACCCTAGAGCTCCCCATCTACCAGTAGTAGGTCCTCCCTAAGTGTTCGTTCCCTCCCTGCAAACATCCAGGAAATCTGTGGGGATTACTTAGAATTTAAATGCCCGGAGCACTTGTGACCAGCCGAAGTGGGTCCCTGGGACTGATGTCCATGCTTTCCATCTCTGCCCTGCCCACTGAGATGCAGCAGGGACCCCCACTTCAGTCCCCTCACTACCTCAACCTGAACATCCCCAGAGGCCTCCAGTAGGTCTGGGGCCCACCTCTTCGCAGGCGGCTTTGGCACAGCAAGGTGGGCCAGTGCGTGTGGCCGGTACGATTGTAGCTCTACCCCGAGAGATGGTGCCCAGGTGGGCAGTCTGTCAGGGCTTCTAGGCTGCTACTGGGCATCAGGCCTGGAAGGGTTGCTAAAGTCAGTGGGTGTTTTGCCTGAGGATGGGAACAGACTCAGAATGAAGGGCAAGCCACGTGCTCGGGTGGTACTCCAGGGGCATCCACCATTTCTGGGGAAGGAAAAACCAACAACAAAGCTCAAGTAGATGACAACAAAGAAATTAGAGCATAGGTGTCAAGTGGGTTTTTTTTTTCTCCTCATTTTGGTGGTCTCTGATGCCTGTGAGTGACTGACACCAGCTGACTCACCAAATCCCGAAGCCTTCCTGTCCATGGGGTCATTAGGCCACGGCTGCATCTTCGTTGGGTACATTGGGTGGCTTCTAAAGCCTGTGGGACAGGAACAAGTGTGGCTCATGCCTCATAAATGCCAGGTTCCTGGTTTAAGAGCAGAGCCCCCAAGACCATGCCGGCTGGGTTCAAATCCCAGCTCTGCCACATAGCAGCTGTGTCCTGAACACATGATTTCGTCTCTCTGAGCCTCAGTTCCCTCATCTGTGGGTGGAGTTAATCGTGGTACCCACCTCCGGGGGGGGCCCACGAGAGGTTTGAGAGCTCATCCCCATGCCAGCACGGGGCTAGCGCACAGGAGGGAGCTGGGGCTGTTGCAGTGATGCCTCGGAGGAGGCCCCTGGCCCGCCTGGGCTGGCGCTGGCTGAGCGGCTGCAGCCCTGGGCCAAGACAGCATTTGGTACCTGCAAACTGGCCAGGAGGGCTTTCCCTGCTGCACCCCCGCCCTGTCAGGGTCTGGGTCCCAGGGGCGTGTGCCCTGCTGGTGGCTGCCTGTCCCTTCCTGTTCGGGCCTAACCGTTTCCATAGCAACTGGCGGAGCCAGACACTGAAGCGCTGGCCTAGAGGAACAGAGGCTAGGCCAAGAGTGGCGGGGTTGGCGGGCTGCTCTGGGGTGTCTGCAGGCTCCCTGCGTTCTGCTCCCGCGCTCTCTGCCAGTGTGGAGGATGGTTCTCACCTCCCCCACTCCTCAGTGAAGGCAGCAGGGTCCCGAGGGCTGCAGCCCCACTGCTCCTCATCTGTGGGCTTTGGCATGGCTGGGAGGGCGATGCTGAGCTCAGCAGCAGCCTGTGCCTTCTCCGGGCTGCCACCACCATGCCCGCAAGCCCGGGGAGGAGGAGGGTAGAGGAGAGGAGGGAGGTGGAGAAGGAGAAGTGGGAGCCTCCGAGAACATCAACCAGCTCTGTGGGCACTGTGCTGGAGCCTGCCTTTCCCGGGGTTTGCTCCAGGCAGGACAGAGCACAGGTGGCGTAAACCTGCACGGGACACGTCCTTGCTGGCAGCAGGAGGAGTGCTGCTTCTCAGTCCGCAGGAGAGCAGCTTCCCACGCAAGGGAAGGAGGAGACACTGAGGGAGTGGGAGACAGTGTGGCCCATAGCAAAGTATGGGGGGGGGGTGTCCAGCCCGCCTGGGTGTGGTGCCTCGACGCTGCTAAGTGCCCCGTGGCAGGCTGGGAATCTCTCTGCTCACAGTAGCTTCCCAGATCCTATAAGGGATCTGTCCCAGCTTGCCACTGAGGAAATGAGGCGCAGACGAGTGTCACAGTGAAATCAGTTGTCCAAGCTCCACCGGAAGGCAGGAGAACTTATTTTATCATCAGCAAAATGGGAGGAATGCCTGCCTCTTGCAGCTGAATTAAGGGAGCCCACTCTGGAGGGCACCCGATGCAGCAGGCACGTGGGAAACATCAGGCTGTTTCCCCCTACCCTCCGTCTACAGTGTCCAGACACAAGAATGCCAATGTTCAGGGGGCTCCGCAGGGAGACACCTGATCAGTCACCCCACCTAGGTGAGCACCCTGGGTATACAACGTGGATGCTGGGCAAAAGGGAAGGGCTTGGTTTCTGGAAGCTGTTAGTGGAGAGCCTCGGAGTCTAAAAGGCTCCCCTGTCTGCTTAATGGCCAGAGGCATTAGCTGCCTGGACCACCCTGGCCAGCTGGCAGGGTGTCTCTTCTCCTGCCCCAGCTAAGAGTCTGCAGATCTGATCTCCTCCCACCATGCTGGCCTCTTGGGATGTGGCCATACTTGCTTGCTCTTTCCTAGGCACCCCTGCCATGCCAGCCCCCACCCCTTCCCTCTCCTGCCCCAGGCCCCAGACTCGGGCCTGTGTTCCTGTCCCAGGAAGGTGGGGCAGGAGGGGGACGAGGAACAGGATGGAGACTTCTCGAGGGGCTGTTGGGAAAATGCCTGGCTTCCTGGCCTCGTGTTAAAAAGAAAGAAAGGAAGCAAAGCAGCCTCCCCTGCTCAGCAGTTTGTCCCTGGCGGAGTATGGGGGCCTGGACAGTCCCTTGCCCTCCCCCAGCGCCAGGAGCACAAACAAAGGAGGCTGCCGAGGATCAGGAAGTCCAAGGATGGGAAATTCCAGGGCCTCCCAGCTCCACGCTCCTTTTCCACCACCCCTGAGTGAGTCCAGGCGTAGAGGGGACAGAGAGTGAGAATCGGGTGTGCCGTCAGACCAGCCCCAGCTCCTGGGGAAAGGGGCCTCTGCAGGCACGCTCCGGTTTCCTTTGAGGTGACAAAATATTGTTTGCATGGCCACAAACTAGGAGTTAGCAGTGAGCAACCCAGTTACCTCCTGCAGGGGCCCTTCCGCGGAGACAGAATCGTCCACTCAGGTGGTGGTTCCTTCGCACCAGGCCCAGACTCCTCTGTCTGGTGCCAACCCCCTCTGTGCCTGGCCTCTCCAGATCCTGCCTTCCGGTTGCCCGCCCAGGTGACCCCATTCCAGCTGCTTCCTTTGCCCCTGCAGTCTTTCCTGTGCTGGCCTGGTTGCTGGCCTGGCCTGGCCCAGTTTTCACACTCACTTGCTGTATGACATGGGGAGGGTGCCTCATCTGTAAAATGGGGGTACAAATACTAGTACCCACCTCCTGGAGCAGGAGGGTCTGCGTGGAACTCCTAAGGAGTGCTGAGTAGCTGTCAGCTAAGTGATTGAACACTGTTCAGACCCTCTCTCCACAAAGCCGTCTTGAGCTACTCCAGAGCCCTCCAAGCTCTTCCTCCCCTGGGCTCTAATGGACTGGCCATCAGTCCCACCCTGCTGAGTGCAGGGCTTGTGCCCACAGGGATCCCCCACCTTACCCAGACCGAATGCACGCACAGCAGAGCTCCTTAAATACTTGCTGGTCTGCTGATTCATATCCTTGGGAAAGAGGCTTTCCATCACCCTCTGAGCCAGCCCCAGGCCTCGGGTCTCTGTTTCCAAATCTGAACACCACTACAGGCTGGCTGGTCTCGTGGATCCTCTGGGCCCTCCTGATGCACACATCCTTCAACATCCAGCCCCACCTGGGTGACTGGCCATTGGCACAGGAAGCCACGGGTGTCCCTGGACTAAGTTCTTCCATTCTGTAGGTGAAAGCTTGGGAGAACTGCCCCCATGTGCTCCACCTGAGGAGCAAGACCCACTACCTCCTCCGAAAATTGCCTTGATTGATGCATGCCATTGGAGCCCAGCTGTGGAGGTCAGCACTTGGCTTGGCTAGGGTCGAGACTCAACATCACTGATTATTTCCAAGGCCCCTAAAACCAAGGCTAGCTCTTGGGCAGGTTTCAGTTTTCTTTGTCAAAGAGTGTTGAGACGTTTCTTTGAGAGATCCCTCTGCCTCTCTCACCAGCAGCCTGCTGGATCATGGTGGCCCTGTGACCCTTGCGAACACCTACCTCACCAGTGGTATCAGGTTATTTTTAGCGGCTCAGGCATGGCTGCTCTGTGTGTTGACCACGGCGGGGGCTGGCCTGTCTCAGCAGAGCCCAGGGGAGCCGCTGCTAACCCCTTCATGAGCCCACCTGAGCTTATGCCCAACCTGGCATGCGTCTCACCTGTGAGCGCATGACTCCACAGAGCTCCCAATGGCCCCTGCTCCTCACCTCTTTCCTACCAAGCTGACCCTCTTGATGTGAGCCACTTATCACCTCCAGAACCGTGGGGCTCCTGAGTGCCCCAAACCCTGCCTGCCTTTCTCCTCACCGCGGTCCCACCGCCAGCTCCCTGGCACCTTCCTCACCTGGAATGCCCCCTGCCCGCCATGGTCCTGCCTCCCCGCCAGAACTCTCACTTCTGGAGGCACAGGCGTGAGCATTTCACTGCCCTTGGATCTCTGATGGATTTGTTGTGTGTGCCCAGGGTGGCCAGGCTCCTCTTCTTGAGCCCTCCCAGCTCGCCTCTGGGCGCTGGAGGTGGTTTCTGAGCTGTGGCCATGCTGGGGGGGGGGGGGGACAGGCCAAGGAAGATCCCTCCTCCCTCCTCCTAAGAGTGCCATCCTAGCCATTGCTTTTTTTCCCCCCCTAAACCAGGCTGTACCTAGTGTTATTAAAGATACCTTCTCATAAGCAGTCGTGGCAGGCCAGGGGTGTCCATCAGTAAAAAGAACACAGTGGCCGACCTCCATGGATGGCCAAACACAGAGAGTCACCATGACACTCGATGAGGTCTTCCTTTGCAACTCTGACCAGCCATCCTTAGGGCGAGGGCAGCCTTGCCCACAGCTTTTCACCAGACAGCCATGTCTCTGAGGAAATGAAACGGAAATGGCAGAACTCTCTGTCTGAAGACCCAGGATCTGAAAAACAGGAACCATGGCTCTTTTGAGTGACACCACCTCAATGCGGTTGCTCAAATGTCTGCCTCACATAGTGCTTTCCAGCCCTGTCGATCTGGGGGGAGGCAGGTCCCAACATGCCCCTGGGTTTCAGGAGGTCAAGTCTGGGCTAAGGGTGGGGTGCAAGAAGAGGACCCAAGGACAATGAAACCGATTTTAGTTCCCTCACAGCGCCAGGCGTCTGTTAGAAGGCACCAATGTGCAGCCGGACCAGAACCCTCTGCCACAGAACCAAGAGGAAATCTCTATTAAAAAAAAAAAGTTCAGCCCATTTTAAGCCAGTTTCTGAGATATTAGTGACATTTAGTTCTTCCTTGAAGAACAAAAATCTTCCTTAAAGAACACAAAAACTCTGAGTGTGACAACACAGCTTCAAAAAGCAAAACATAGTTCTGCATTTTCATAAAACTTGATAAAAAATGTTATTCAACCTGTATGGTCCCCAGAAGTAAAGCACCTCAAAAGGACACCCCTAGTCCCCCAGACCCAGTCTACATGGATTCTATTTTCTGTAGGACTGTTTTATCCATATCAACCAGGGGACTCCCTTGTCCCCTTTGGGTAGCTTCACCCCGTTGTTTGCAGGGGCTTTTTTCCTTTATTGTAAATTATTTATAACATAAAACTTGTCATTTTAGTAATTTTTAAGTGTACATTCGGTGACATTATTTATATTCACACCGTTGGGCAACCATCACCGCTGTGTGTTTCCCAAAACGTTTTCACCACCCCAAACAGAAACCATGTACCCATGAGGCAATAACTTCCCATTCCCAAGCCCCAGTCCCTCATAACCTCTATTCGACTTTCTGGCTCAGTGAGTCTGCCTATCCTAGATGTTCCATCCAAGTGCAAGCATACAGTGTTTGCCCTTTTGCGTCTGGCTTCTTTCACGCAGCATAGTGTTTTCAAGGTTGCAGGGACCTTCCTGGCCTGGCCTCTGGCTCCCCCACTGTGGCCCCGGCACCCACTTGCTTTTCAGCCCATCTCTCCAGCACGGCGGTGACGGTGGATGGCAGGCTTCATCCAGCCCAGAAGTCGCTCCTGCTTCTCCGTCTCGCACTGCTCAAATCCCAGCCCTTGAAGAGAACTAGGCACTGGCGGGAGCTTTGGGCCAAAAGCCTGGAGTCTTGGAGGCAGGAAAAGGAGGCCAGAGAACTGGGTAACCAAGACTCTTCCCCAGGCAGAGGGTGAAGCAGGGTCAAGTGACTAACAGACCGAATGAGACCCCACTTAGGGTGACAGGCCCCAGCAGGTGGCTCCAGGGTTTTGAGATTGGTCATCTGAGGTGTCTGAAGACATCTGAAGAGGAAGCTGGACTAGGGAGAAGGGTGACAGGCTCCCTTTTAATCATGCTCCCCATCTTCCTTGATTTATTCCTGTGCCATTTAAGTCTGTCCCTTGGGGCACCCACAGCGGCAGCTAAGCTGCAGAACACAATGGGTGGGTAGTGTTCACTGCAGCAGCCCCTGCAGAAGGCAGCTTAGCCGGAGGTTTTCACTGTCCTGGAACAGTCCTACCCTTTGACCCATGAATTCCATTTTTTGGACTCATCCAAAAAGGACAAATCAGGGGCGCCTGGGTGGGCTCAGTCAGTTAAACGTCCGACTCTCGGTTTCGGCTCAGGTCATGATCTTGGGGTCATGAGATGGAGTCCCGTATCAGGCTCTGCATTCAGTGCAGAATCTGCGTGAGATTCTGTCTCCCTCTCCCTCTGCCCTTCCCGCCGCTTGCACGAATGCCTGTGCTATACATAAATAAACAAATAAACAAATAAATAAAATCTTTACAAAAGACACAATCAGAAATACATACCAATATTCATGCACAAAGATGTTCCCTCTAGTACTGTTTTTAATAACCCCCAATAGGAAACAACCTAAGTAGCCAATCGTGAGTGAATGACTTAAATAAATTATTGTAAAATAGTACACAGCTATAGAAATGCTATCTGCAAAGAAAAGCAGGATTTTTGATGGTGGGGGAAATGACTATGACGATGTTAAACAAAAAAAAATTTTTTTTTAAGCAGACTACATAATTTTCTGTATGCATTTTAATATCAAGTACATAAGGAAGAGAAATCATAGAAAAGAAAAAACAAACAGAAGCATATGCCAAGCCACTTAGTGCTGTTATTGGTTTTTTTTTTTCTTTACATCTTTCCACACATTGCAAATGCTCTACAAAAAAGAACATGTGTTACTTTGATCTTCAGGACAAGAAAGCAATAAATGGGAGGACCAGGTCTCCTCTCCATGTGATTAAGGAGGGACCAGAATTTGGGAGGCAGGTACTGGAGGCCTGGGCCAGACCTGTGAGCCATGTGGTACCTGCCCATGCTTTTGGGGGGACGCTGTGGGGGTGGGAGATGGGGTCAGGTGGCGGCGGCATGTGTGCACCAGGAAGCTGGCTCAGACCAGGGCCGGAAGCATAAATGTCTTCGAGGGCCTGGCAAGTATCATACTCATGTGAAAACGTGCATAGGAAATGGTGGGGACTATGACAAAATGGCAAGCTCCCGTCCCATCTGCAAGAGGGGGCTTTGGCAAAGCTGCAGTGGTTGTTGGCCACATGTTAACGTGGGCCCTGGAATGACCAGAACTTCCGTTTCTCAGAGCCGCCAAATATTCCTGATTTTTCACCAGTGAACTCTTCCTAAACACTGGCCCCCAACTGCAACCTCTTCTCAGCACCTTTGGTCCACATCCACAGGCCAGCTGTGGCCCGCCAGCTCACAGGTCCGGCCTGTGCCTTCCTCCTCCTCAGGCTCTGTGTTCTCTGCATGGGTGACAGGGTGTGGTGTTTGCCAGGGGAACCTGGGCACAGACTCAGAGTGGCTTCCTTTTGTTCTTTCTGCCAGAAAACGAACCTCCCTCTCCCCTGGTCTCCGGGATTATCGATTACAACATGCCCCTTACCTCCACGTACCTGAAGCAGATGAAGTTGCGAGTGATGAACTCCCAGGAACAGGTAAGCCGTCCATCTCCCCTCTCCCTGCCTGGAAGCGTCCTAACCGGCCTGGATGTGGTTGGTTCTTTCCAAGATGTGGGGCCACAGCGTGTGTAAACACACTGGAAATCAAAGAGGCCCTTATCTGGTGATCTGGGCCTTGCTGTCCAGGCCGAGGGGAAGGAAAGAATGTGTTCCTAGTTAGGGGGTCTGCTCGGCAGACCGCCCTGCCTGGTCTTCAGTGAAACCCAGGAAGTTCATGCTTCGTAGAACTTTCCCCAAGGGCATGAGCAAGGGAGGGGTTGTGCATGAGCTGTAGACCTTGGCTCTTCAGTTGTTCTCTCTGCTTTGCCCTTTGTCTGCAATGTTGCTCACCTCCTTTCCCCAGGGAGGTGAGAGAGGGGCCCTGGGTGCTCGCCTGTGGCCTCTGTCACTCTGGGGGCCCAGAGAGGCCAGAAGGTTGGGCCTCGGAGGGTGGCCCGCGTGAGATAAGGCCCTGGGGCCCCCTCTGGCCATCCAAGACTCCCCAGCTGTAGATTGCTAAGTGCTTTCAGGCACCATGGAAACAGGCTATGAAAAGAAAACCACTCTTGCTTACCTCCCCACACAGTCTACCTTGTAGCCCTTTGCAAAGCAAGTAGCATGACTGTCCTTCAAGGAAGGACTAGGTGAATGCCACCCCCTCCCTCCACCACCGCCTAAAACCAGGGTCATAATTTCTCACCTCCGGCTTCAAATTTTCTCATCTGTTGTGACATATGAACCTACCATATCTTTGAGGCCTACCTAGGGGAATAGGTCTCCCCTCTCCCCAACTAAAAGTCTGACTTCCAGCTCTGGGTGGCATGCTGTCCCACATACTGCTGGTCTCCTTGACAACCCGAGCATGCGTACACAGAGTGGGTGCTGGTACCACAGCCAGCTCCGAGGTGATGTAACAGGACATGTTCAGGTAGCATCTGGGGCTGTGGCACCCAGTTCGAGGATTTGAGCTGGCTGGCTTGACCATGCCACGTTCTGCCCTCCCCTAAGGGAGGAGGGATGGTGTGTCCTCCAATCCCCATGCCCTAGCCCCTAAATGTTGAAGGAAGTAAGCTTTGTTCTGGGTGATAGAGTTGTTTGTGTCTCTGTGTCTCCTACATCTTCTCACCTGAGGTGGTCTATTCTGTGATGGTTACACCCCTAAGAAATGTCACGTGATCCAAAATAATGTCAGTGGGGAAAATTGTGTGGGGGTTTCTAACTCACAACAGTAAAATTGTTTCTGTGCAGGAATGTCAGTAATAAAGGTGGGGTTTTGTTACTAGTTATAAACTCTAAACACCACTGTGCATGTTCAGCAGGAGATCTCTGACTCCCATTCAAGAGTAATTTCTTTTCCTGTAACGATCTGCACTGTCATGAGCACCTGGCTTCTCACACATTCTTATCACCGTTCTCATCTGTCACCATGAAGTGCAGAGCCACCTGAACAGCTGGTAGCACAGCCTCACGGCTCTTTCCTTCCTACGAAGTGGTGCTAGATCCAGATCACCACCGGAACCAGTAGTGGTCAGTGTAGCCCATGTTGTGATCCCTCATTACTGGATCCTGTTGTAGTTTGTCCTGTTATACAAATTCTTACTGTCTGTGGGGAATTAAATCTATTGGTTAGGTACATTGGCAAGGACTCAATCATTCAACCAATATTTATGGAGCCCTACTCCATGAGCCAGGCTCTAGGGAGGAGCAAGTCTTAGGAACTACTGTTATTAGTTCTTATGAATTGGGGGAAACAGACACTAATGAAAAAAAATCACACACCAGTGCCCAGCTCAGAGCAGGTCGCAATAAACAGTGGGGGGAAAGATGAGTCAGTCATCACAGTGCACCTGTGACGAGGGCTGTGCGTGAGGACACATGGTGCTGTGAGTACTCTTAGATGGGCATGACAGGTGAATCAAAGCAGGGCTTTGCTTCAGAAAGGGATGCATGAGCTGAGATGGAGGTCTGAAGGGAAGAGCTCCAGGCCAAGGAAACAGCTTGTGCAAAGGCCCTGTGGCTCGAGGGAGGACAGCACCCATGAGAATCTGAGAGGCTGATATGGCTGGTGCAGAGAGTGTGAGGTATTCTGTTGCTGAAGAAAAAGGGAGAAGACACACATGCTGGGCAAAGAAGCACTCGATGGGTATCTGTGAATGAACCGAAGTTCATGAAACAAGATGGTTGAATTACCCTGCTGAGGTTTGGGCTACTCACAAAGGAAAGGCAGATTGTGGGAAGCTGTTTTTCCCCAGGGTGCTCTGAGAGTCCAGCTGGGGCTGATGTTGAGAGTAGGTGTCTCAGAGTCGACTGTATCTTCCTCGCCTTCATTCGTAGTTTCCCAGGTGGGGGTCTTCGGACAGTATCCAATGTTCTCCCTTGTGCTGCAGGAGATCAAAGGTGTAGACTTTCCTTGCACACACCGGGCAGGAGAAACAACATCACACCTAGCACGTGTGGTCTTTCATCTGCCAGGCTCCAGCACTTGCCACATAGCCCTGAGCTGTCTAGGCCTCAGTCTCTCAGGCAGGCCCTGTTCTATAGTGGGCACATGGCGAAACAAGCAATCCCAGTGCTCACCAGATTATTTCTCAGCAGGAGCAAGGAAGGGCCAAGGACCCAGAGGTCTCTGATTCTTCATCTTTGAGTTGGAATGAAAAATACATATATTTGAATTGGTAGCTTCTCTGCTGCAGGGAGGTCAGAGTTGGGCTCCCCTTGGGGTCAGTCAGTGGGCTGCTATACAAATGCAGCTGGGGGCCCAGCTCTGTCACTGTCAAGTCCCATGTGCTGACAAGGCTCTGAAAGTGGCTTCATTCCCTGAAGCATCCGTCTGACCCCACAATGCTGACAGAGGGCACCTATCGTGTTTGCAAATCACTCGTGCAGGCCGTATGGAAAATCAACCCAATTCTAAAGGAACAGGAGCTGGGATACATGATATTTTATTAATGCCAAACAAAGCTCTACATCTAAAAACTCTGGGTGAGAAAAATCCCGGTAATTCGCTTTTTCCAGGATGAGATATCTAGGAGACAAGTAGTAAGGCAAATAGAACATTTTCCCCTCACTTTGCTTGGAGCAGGCAATGAACAGGTGGTGGAGTTTACGTGTGAACCGGACAGAACCAAGTTACTTGTTGTCCAGTTGCATCAGATTAATATGCGGAGAAATGGGCCCTTCTCCACAAAGGATATTAGGTAATATAAAAATCTAATAATATTCACACAAAGAAAAAAGATTCTTCTTGAGGGCTGATTCAATGCAGCAAATATTTATGGTGTCCTCCATATGCAAGACATTGGGGGGGGTCAGACTCCAGCCTCCCAGGATCTCCTCCCTAAGACACAGAGCCCAGGAGCTAATATCTCAGTGGCCACACTGAGCTGAAAATAGGGGAGTGTAGTCCCCTATAAACTCTTTTATTTCCCCTACTTGGGAAAATTCTTATAAAGACATAAAACGGAAATCACATTTAGTTCTACCGAGGAATGTACGGGAATACATTTTCTTGGGGGCAGGGTAGGAAGACTTCATGAGATGTGGACTGCCTTGGAAAATGCTCTGTAGCGTTCTCAGATAAAATGAGGTCCCAGGGAGGGGGGCTGCACTCACAGGGTAAGAGGCGGGCCTCAGTGTCCTCTACAGTGGCCCAGCTGGCAAATCCCCTTTTAGGGCTGTGGGCCCTAAAGATACACCAAAGAGGAGCGCTAGGGTCTCTTCTCCACGCAGCCACTGGATTTCTTTTCTGCGTAACTTGGTTTTCTTTTCTTTTAATTACACAGGTAACACCTGGCTACAATAGCCAAAAGCAAAACATGGTGATAAAAATTGCTACCATCCCACCACTCAGGTCACTGTGAATATTTTGGGGTCCAGCCTTCCAGACTATTGAATAGAAAGAGGATTAGCCTCTACAAACAACCTGCTTTGCTTTTCCAGTGCTCATTTTCCATTTTATCAGAGCCTCTTTATCCTCTGGGCCTAGATGTTTCTACCTACCAAATAAGCTGGTTTTATAATTTTCTTGTCATTCACTCTCTCCTTCACCCCCATATCTACCCATCCATCCACCCACCCATCCACCCATCCATCCATCCATCCACCCACCCATCCACCCATCCATCCATCCATCCACCCATCCACCCATCCATCCATCGATCCACCCACCCATCCACCCATCCATCCATCTATCCACCCATCCACCCATCCATCACCCACCCACCCATCCACCCATCCATCCATCCATCCATCCATCTATCCACCCATCCACCCACCCATCCATCCATCCATCCATTGCTCACTGTAGCCAGGCATAGCTGCAGGTGCTAAGGAGATAGTGGTGAACAGAAGAGAGTCTATGCCCTGCTAACTCTCACAGTTCAGTGAGAGAGACAAGGAAAACCAAAATCAACACTCTGGCGTTTTAGAGGAGGAACAGAAGAAGGACAAGGGAGTGAGCTGGGTGGTGCTCTTGTAAGGCACTGGATTATTCTTAATTAGGCTCCTGTTCTGGGGCACCTGGGTGACTCAGTTGGCTAAGCGTCCGACTCTTGGTTTTGGCTCAGGTCATGATCTCAGAGTTGTGGGCCCCTGCACTGGGTGTAGAGCCTGCTTAAGATTCTCTCTCTCCCTCTCCCTCTGCCCTCCCCCACCTTCCCTCTCTAAAATAAATAAATAAAATTAGGCACCTGTTCTGGGTGGAGCACTTCACACCCTTTACCCCTTGCCTTCACAGCTCTGCAGGGTCCCCTTATTATCCTCATTTGGCAGATCCCGTAGCTGTGGCTCAGAAAGGTTCAGCACTTGCTTAAGGTCACACAAACACTGACATGAATGAAATTCAGATCTCTCCCATCCCTGAACCTGTGCACCTGCCAGGGCCCCAAGCCCAGCTTCTCTCCACACTTACTGAAACAGATGTGCCACCCGTGGGGTTGGTGGAGGGAAAATGTCCTTGGCAGAGATGCTGACAGAGCACGTCAGGGTTTTGTTTGGCC